TTGATTTGATATGAAATATATACTTATACACATGAAAAGACACATAAAAAGCACATAATTTATTGGCATGCATAAAGTCATGACAAACCCTATTTGTCCTTTTTTATGGTTAATAATTATTGCTTATATGATATGATACTATTTATGTTGGCAGTTACATATTCTTATAGTTATATATTTATATTGTTTTGGGTTGAATGATTACAAGCATACTATTTTCATTATCTTGCATTGATTACAATTATAGATTCTGATAGTCTACTGAGCTGTTAGCTCACTCTGTAGTTTTTACATGTTTTCAAAAAGGGGTCAAGATACAGTGAGACATACCAGACTTGTTTAGAATTTCTTTTTTAATTTATATTTTAGTTTATTCTTTTGTGATCAGGAGTTAAAAGATAGATTGATATGGAGTGATTGATCTCTTGACTATTATAAATTAAGTTTTGATGAATGAATATAGAAATATTTGATGTATATGATTTATAGTTATTATCAATACTATTAAAAATATAATTAATTGTATGATTGTAGGCATAATATGTGATGCCAAAAATTTTAATTAGGAAGAATTATTCTTTTAACATTTATAAACAACAATTAGAGCTACCTAATTTATTTTATAAATATAAATATTAGCATAAGTGAATCTATCGATAAAAATATCAATATATAGATATGTATTCATTTTCTCAAAAAATCATGTACACTACTCACTATCTATATAATCATATCACAACTACTTTGTAATGAGTACAAAAGAATAGCTAAAGTAACAAGAATTTGAACCTGAAGGATCCTGATCAATCTCACACTCATACTCCATTATCCTGACATGAAATCATTTAATTATATATAATAAGCTTAAGAGCCCATCAAGTAACCAAATCCTACAACTAAACTCAAAGTATGAAAAAGAGCAATATGCATATTGTTAATCAAATCATAATAGTAACATTAATATGATCATGAATCAATATAGAAATAGTAAAACACACATACAGTAGCAGTAGAGCTATAACCAGTAAAGTTGTGTGTCAAAAATTGATCCTACCCGTTGACTCGACTCAAACCCAACCTAAAAATTCCAGGTTTGGGTTGACCCGCTGTCACGACCCTGCCCGGATGCTCTACTTTTTTGATATTTTTTATTTTTAAACAATTTGACCACTTTGACTAAGTTGACCAAATCAACATGATCAAAGTGACTCACCCATGTTTTGGACTCAGCAAGGGTCATGAGTTTGAAATTTGAAATTTATGCATGCGACACAAAATGAGGTCAGTAGTGTACACATGCTATCCATGTATTATATATCAATATCAAATAATTATATTAAATGCTCAGTATGTCACGTGCTTAGTATCAATATAATAAATCAGTAGTATTATACATTATCGGTGCCGATATTGGTAACAACAAGAGCCTTGTTAGTAAAATTAATGGCCGAAATAGTAAATTTGTATAATGATAATAAATTAATAAACAATAACAATTAAGTGGTCAAATCATATAGTAACAATAACAAAAATCAATGGCATGCATTTTGGTAGTCACGCTAAACAAATAAGAAATTCTAACTTAATCGACATTGTTCCAATATTCTATATTTATCAGTAAATTGTTGGCTCAATAAACAAAGGCGTCACTCTTTGCCCGTTGGCATAGTAATCATCTCAATATAACTTACAATTAGTGAATCAGTAGAGGATAAGACAAAAGCCCGTCAACGTACCATCATGCATGTATAAGTCAATCAGTCTCCAACCAATATTAATGAAACCAACTTTTACTTGTCCTTACATGTATTATTATCACAATATTATTATAGTAATAATGACTAATTATTACCCAATCATATATAGATTTTCATTCGTAATGCTTGTATTAATAATATGCTTAAAAAATACATAATTTCTATAAAATATAAATCATACAAAATTCAATAACTTCTATTTAAAATTCATAAATGTTGCAATCAAAATATCCAAGATAATTAGTACGATAACATACAAAAAGTTGTGTTGTAAAAGTTCAATAAAATCAAGGAAAATATAGTAAAATCAATTTTGAGAAAAATTCAACGATCAAAATCAAAATATTTGAAAATAGAGATAGGATTAGAATCACCTACCTTAATCTGAACAATTTTTGTAAAAGCGACAAAGCGATCTGAAGACCAAAATTTTAGATTTTCATTTATCTCTCATCCTTCCTTGTCACCTTCTTCTCTCCCTTGCTCAGCAAGCCGGTGCTGGTTGGGAAAATTAGGGATTGTGAGTAGGAAAAATATTATGTAAAAATAATCTTTTAGTGGGTAGCATCACAGAACCACCATTCAGCGCCACAGTGATACATTTCAAATCAAGAATTACTATACAAACAGAGGCTTCAATGTCGCGGTGACATTTTCTGGCACCGCTGTGCTTCAGGCTTAATACCACAACTCTTGAAAGATTAGTCCCGTTGTGCTCCAATTTAAACAGAAAGTCGGATTTTTTATTTTCAATTATTTTTCAAAAATTGGGTTGTTAAATCATATTATAATAAGTAAAGAAATATTGAATGAATATTATGACTTTAATAACAAAACTCACATACAGGTGACATAAATTGTAATATAGGTTTTATATCATTTGTTGTTTTGCCATGTTAGATAAAAGAGTTTATATCATATTAGAAATAATTTATGCCTTTAGCTATTAGTGTATAGGTCATTTTCCATCACATGTATTCATAGGAGTCATACATCTTAACTAGTTAATAATCACATACTCATGATATTTGTCTTATCAAGTTATTATCAATATTCAATATGTTGATAGCCATATATTATGGTCATCACTCTAAGCCTGTCAACTTATATCAGCATCAGCCCAATCTTATGCCTCTCTATGGAGAAATTATTTTGTGCGGAGACCTGACGCAGAACATCATCCGAAGACCAATCAGAATGCATCACATCAGCAGTATCGAGCACATGGGCGATGTGATGCATTCTGATTGGTCTTCTAATAGCATTTGACATCTTCACAGAATAATTAATCTGATTCCTCCCTGTGTGGGTTGACATCAAGCTTCAATATGTTTGAGAAAGTATGTCTACCTTCCCTAATACATAGGAGAATACAATCTCTTCCAAATTGAAGTCTAATTAGTCTTTGCATTTCAACATTCCACAATGAGCATCCTGCATAAATTAAGGTTTCCTTTGAGACAACTTATTGCTTTTTATAATAGTTTTTTAGTGCAAAAATTTCTTAAAAAGGGTAAAAACAGTGGCCAAAAGCTGCCCCAAAAGACTTCGTTTGGGATGATTTTTTTTAATGTTTCTTAAAACAACTTTATAGTATAAAAACTGAAATTTTTATACTAAAAAAATGCTTTAAGAAGTAATAAAAAAACCGTTCCAAATGAAACCTAAATATTCATTATAGGAATTTGCTCATTTCTCAAATGTTTCACATTAGTATGATCTTATTCTTCTTTGTAAGTCAAATTATTGTTATGATTCCATTTTATTCTCTAATACTCTATTCACTTTATTTATAACCCATTTTTTTAATGAATAAATATGGAGCGCATTATGAATATAAAAAATCTGATATAATAGTATCAATCTATAATAAGCTTAAGTTTTCATTTTTTTTATCAAATTTATTTCTTCTCAATTTTTCTTAAAGTTGTTCTTTTTTAGTAAAAATTAGGAGATATTTTCTTGAAATTTTAATAATATGTTTGAAATGGTTATAATTTTTTATAAGAATAATTATAGAATTGTAGAATAATTCTAGAATGCAGTTTTTTTCCTGTCAAAAAATAATATTAATTTTTTATAGTTATCACATTGTAGCGGATAAAAAATTATTTTCATCACATTATTAAAAAAAGAGAAATTTACATACATATCACTTTATACCATCGTATTTACATATCTAACATCTAACATTTAAAACTTTTAATATTATATACATATCACCATTTTTTATTTTAATACTAAATATATCACTCATATTTCTTTCCTATCACTCATATTTGATATGAAAATGAATGTAATATTAAAGTTTTAGATGTCAAATATGTAAATAGAGTATTATATAGTGATATGTATGTAAATCTCCAAAAAAATAATAATTAATAAAAAAAATATGATAGTGATATAAAAAATAAAATAATGAAAAAGGTTATATCAAATGAATCTTTACCTTGATGTAGGGGTGTCAATATTTAACACGGCTCGCCCTTGTGGCCTCATAGGCAAGAAGCCTCATCTACTTGCTCTCGCAATCACGTGCTTGCTCTCGCAATCTTGTGAGTTAGTAGGTTGGGACAGGTCAACTCGGATTGGGATGGGTCAGATTTGAATTTGAATTTTTGAACTGCTATCTAATCGGATCAGATTCAGATTGAGTCAGTTGAAGGTGAATTTATTTCAAATTAGAGCTGAATCTGATCCAAAAATCTATTGTAACACCCCATTCTCTTGCATTAAACTAAAAAGGCTAAAATTCTTAAAAAATATTGGCTATAATTCTTTTTAAGAAAACGGATTTTAGCTGAACGGAAGTCCAGCCATAAAGAATCACAGTGGGATTTTTTAATTTTACTTTTTATTTGGGAGAACACAGTGGGATTTCGTAAAGGCTCCGTAACTCTTGCCGTTTGTCTCTCGGAGAAGCTTTTACCTCTCCCAATCCGCAGAGAGGAAACCTAAATCTCCACCTCTGCAGTCCCGTTGTTCATTTCTGTTGATTTTTGTATTATCAGCTTTCGTCGTTAACTCAAATTTCGTTTTTTTTCTTTGTCTGACCTTTGCTGCTCAAGTAAGTGACTTCGATGCTTGATCATTTCTGTGCCAAACTGCTTTCTTTAACTCAACCTTTGTCGTAGGTTTCTTTGGTCCAAGAACAGGAAGATTTTTCTAGCGCTGTGCTGTCAAAATCATCTCTTTGTTCTATTTAATTAAGAATCTTTAGCTTAGGATTCGTGCCCTCTTGTGGATCGCTTGGAAGTTGGCTTCCGGAAATCCGTCTAGATCTGAAGTTTCAATTACACCAGCGATTTATTTTTCATCTAAACATCTTCATTATGTAATTTCGTGGGTTTTTCTTTTTGCTACTGAACCCTAACTTTCTTCTAGCTCTGAGGAAAGGTTTTCGTTTGCGGAAACTCTATTGCATTATAATCAATCTGCAACATTTTGAATTCGCTCGTTGCATCATGTCACAAAGCTAAAGTCTGTAATTCCTCCAGTGCTGGAAGAGGAGGCTTTGGTTCTGCTACCACGTGCCTTTGATTCTCCTCAGATGTTTTTGAGCCCATCTTTGGAGAAGTTGAAAGTTTGGCTATTAGTTGATTTACTTGTTGGATTTTGGAGCTCTAAAGAAGTATGAGGAAAAATGGCAGTGCCCACTCTGGAAGGCCTTTTAGTGATAGAAGATGGCTTCTTCCATTCTTAGCAAGCTTGTTGGTTTCTGTTACTTTACTTTTGGCAACATTATCCGGGCTTTTCTCCCCTCATTATAGTGAGGATTCTATGACTCCAGATATTGTATTGTTCACTGGTATGGATAATTCTGATTGGAATTCGATTGATTTGGAAAATAGTAAGGATGTAGAGAGGCATTCTCTTGTGGAAATTGAAGCACCGCGGATAGCTTATCTTCTAACTGGAACGAAGGGTGACAGTCAAAGAATGAGGAGGACACTACAAGCTATATATCATCCAAGAAATCAGTATATTCTTCATCTAGATCTTGAAGCTCCACCGAGGGAAAGGATTGAGTTGGCAATGTATGTTAAAGGTGATTCAGTGTTCAGTGTGATCGACAATGTGCGCGTTATTGCAAAAGGAAATCTAGTGACTTACAGGGGTCCGACGATGATTGCATGTACTCTTCATGCCATTGCAATCTTATTGAAAGAGAACTTGAAATGGGATTGGTTCATCAACCTTAGTGCTTCTGATTATCCTCTAATGACACAAGATGGTGAGCACTGATCTCCACTTCTCTGTTTTATATTTCTGATCTTAGGATACACTTGATAATCAAAATTGGCATGTATTTATTTCCCTTAAAGAAGCAAAATGTACTCTCAACCATGGGGCCTTTCACATGTCTTTCAATTTTTATTTTTTTGGATTGATCTGTACCATTTAAGCTCATGCATTAGCTAAGGGCATCTCCAACCGAACTCCAAACGCTTGAATGACGTCACTCGTGAGCTCCAGCCGAACGGTAAAACTTCATCTACTTGATTGCGGGCAATATTTAAAATTGCGTATTTGGGTATTGAGGCGTTTTTCATTCGTGAGGCAAGGCGTAAGCCTCAAAATCAAAAGATTGTGTAAACATTAAATGATAAATTTTTTATATACTAACGAGTGAATAATATAAAATATAAAAAATCATAAGATATGAAGTGAAATCAAAATATCTCAATAATAAGACAACATGAAATATAGTTCAACTCAAAATTCTATCTTTCCCAAATCCGAGTATTCTTTTCATTAACATATAATTCAAATTTCCAAAAATAAATAGCAATGAAATATCACATAAGAACTCATAAGTGATCAGCACTGTCATCACTAAGGGGTTCTTCATTTGAATCATCATTATGGTGAACTGCTCTCTCCCCTTCCTCCTCTCCTATAGAGTTTCGGGCCTCTTCTATAGAGTCCAATGTCGGGCATTTACTTCAAAATTTATGTAAGTTTTAATATATATATAGTGTGAGGCGTAAGCCTCATGCCAGTGAGGCGAGGCGGGCCTCAACCAAGTTGAGGCGCAAGCCTCATAAAAAAAACTCGAGGCGTAAGCATAAAGGCGATTTTTACTGGAATTGCGCAAAGGCAGGCCTCAAGGCGAGCCTCATATTGCGCAATTTTCGCCAATATTGGCATTGCGCTGTTCATCTTCGACATTTTTCTGTCTCTACTGAACTTGCCGAAGAAACGTGCGAAAGAAGAGAACGACCGTTACCTTCGCAAAAGGGGGCAAAATGGAGTTCGATTGGAGATTTCATGACATTTTGGAGTGAAAAATGAGATTTTCGGTTGAAGATACCCTAACTGTTGATCCTGCAGAATCTTTTCCTCTTCTCATTATTTTCATTTGCAACAAATTATACTGACCTTTGCTTTTTTTGGCAGACATACTCCATGTTTTTTCTTCTGTACCTAGAGACCTCAATTTTATTGAACACTCTCAGAGCACAGGCTGGAAAGTGTAAGCGTATAGCTTCTTGCTAATAGACTTTTTTTAGCATTGTTCTTATTATATTGAAGATCAATATTGCTAAAATATTCTTTTTTAATGCAGGAACCAGAGAGCAAAGCCAATCATCATTGATCCTGGGTTGTACTTGTCAAAGAAGTTTGATGTTGTTGTCACTAGTGAACGGCGAGAGTTACCGACATCTTTCAAATTGTTCACAGGTAAATAGGTTTGGTTTCCCTGATATTCAATCTGGTTTCTCATCTCTGTGTCAGATTTGGTTTATCTTATATTGTTCACTTTATTTTTTAGAATTTTGTTATGTGTGAATTGTTGATTTTCCCTTTACATTGGCATGTTGGGGATGATTAATACTCTTCATTCCTTGCTGAAGAGACTAGGATATGGAGAGTAATTGCTTTGCATTTGCTCCCCGTGCTTGCATTATCTGTAAATATGACAGGAGGCACAAAAGTTGCATAATTGAAGGTCACCTGGTCACTCAATGAGAGGCAAGTAAATGTCACGGGTACTAAGGCTTCGTTTGGGACGGCTATTTTACTGCTTCTTAAAGCAGCTTTCTAGTGAACAAAATTTTAATTTTGTACTAAAAAGTTGTTTTAAGAAGCAGTAAGAAAGCCGTCCCAAACGAAGCTTAAGTCTCCAAAAAAGTTGTGAAATCAGGATAATTAGGATAAAATCAAATGTATGACCGAATTTGACCTCCAATTAATAATTTGTATCACATTTCTCTATGCCCCAACTTGATATTCTTATTGTAAAGGGTTAGAAATGAGCCTTTAACCTTCTGCCTCATTGTAGGCTTATGAATATTGTTCCTTTATAGGATTCTATCTCCATTATCTTTTCCACAATCATATATTTTGCTTCTGAAACCATGTTCTACATAATCTTGCACATACTGCATTAAATATTTTTGACCTCCAATTAATAATTTGTATCACATTTCTCTATGCCCCAACTTGATATTCTTATTGTAAAGGGTTAGAAATTAGCCTTTAACCTTCTGCCTCATTGTAGGCTTATGAATATTGTTCCTTTATAGGATTCTATCTCCATTATCTTTTCCACAATCATATATTTTGCTTCTGAAACCATGTTCTACATAATCTTTTTGCACATACTGCATTAAATATTTTGCTCATATTTTATGCCAGATATCTGTGTGTTTGATAAAATAATATAGTCAATCATTGCAAATTTCAAGTTATAAAATATGATCTCATATACAACATGCTTGACTTGATTTTATACTTGATTTATCTTAAGATTTTAAGAACTTTTTTGTGGGTCTCTCTGATTCTCCTTTTATTGTGTCATAAATTGATTTCATTGAAGAACATTTAGCAATATTAGCTAACTGGTGCAATCATGATTACTCCTTCTGAATCATACCAAACAGAGATTTTTGCACCTTTGAGTTTCACCTGAAACTTTGGAGACTCACCTTGATCTTTACTTGTTCATGCTCTTAGAAAAATTTCTTGGTTCCTTTCTTAATCTTTTTTCTTGATTAAATTATCACCATTCTGTGTATAGGATCTGCATGGGTGATGCTTTCCAGGGCCTTCCTCGAGTATTGCATCTGGGGTTGGGAAAGCCTTCCTAGAACCATCCTCATGTACTACGTCAACTTCATCTCCTCTCCTGAAGGTTATTTTCATACTGTCATCTGCAATTCCGACGACTTCCGTAACACTACCGTCGGCCACGACCTTCATTACATTGCTTGGGACAACCCTCCAAAGCAGCACCCCCGCACTCTCTCCAGAAAGGATTTTAATGACATGGTGAAGAGTGGTGCCCCCTTTGCTAGAAAATTTCCCAAGGATGATCCGGTCCTCGACAAGATTGATCATGAGCTTCTCGGACGATCTGAAGGGAAGTTCACTCCAGGTGCATGGTGCAGTGGCAATGGAGATGATGGAGAGGATCCTTGCTTATCAAGGGGAAATGATTCATTTTTTCAGCCTGGACCAGGTTCTGAGAGGTTAAGGGAGTTGATAAATAAGATAACATCAAAAGAATTTAGAAGTGGGAGTTGCTCTTCCCTGCGATATGATCAGAGTAAGAGGCAATGGTCTGGTACTTGATATTCTCTGAAGGAACTTACAGTTTTGTTACAGGTAACTATTACAATACAGATTACACGGCATTCTATTGATAAACTAGCTTGCAAATGAAAAGCATTTTTGTTCTTTGATAGTTGGTCCAGTTGATGTTGCATGTTATTCTGAGGAGGATGTTCAATTGACTTGAGAGTGGAATACATTGGAAGTTGGTTGTTGTTCTAATGTTGCACATTAAGGCTTCGTTTGTGACGGTTTTTTCACTGTTTTTTAAAGCAGCTTTTTAGTTAAAAAAATTAATATTTGTACTTAAAAGTTGTTTTAGGAAGCAGCAAGAAAATCGTCCCAAACTAAGCCTAAAATTAAAAAATTGTTTCTATTTGTTTTCAGGGGGATGTATATAAGAAACACTCAAAATTCGTCCATTTATATATGTAACACTTGAATCTTATTATTTATAAAATGTTTCCACTTAACTTTTGATGATGGATGAAAGCATTGAAGATGAAGGAAAGATGATGGGATCTCATTGGACCAAGAGACGTTGCAATGAGGAAGTATCATGGTGGGACGAGGAAGTTGTGATGGGATCTTCATGAAAAGAGTCATGAGAAGATCTCGTCGGGAAGGTTTGCAGCAGGATGAGGTTGGGGATGGGGATTTAAGAGCCTGGCGGCGTGTGCGGTGGGAAAGGGTGATGGGATTGGCTGCGGCAATGGAGAAGATAAGAAGGGTGTTACTTTTATGTTATTTAAAACATTAGCCGTTATGTGGTTAAATATTGTATTTAAGTCTAAAATGTGTAAATGAGAGTTTTACATGTTATGTATGAAAATCCCCCTTGTTTTTATCATTAAGAGAATGTCATTTAGTTTCAGTCCTACTAGTGAAGCTTTCGTGAGAAAAAAGGAGAGAAATATGATAAGACGAGCGATACGCAGTAAGATTCTTGTTGCAATATTTGTATTTGTTGTGATGGAGGATACAAAGCGGAATTAGGATAATCAAGGTTATGAAAATGAGATCGGACAATAAATTTGTAGGAGAGGCTCACGGTTTGATTGGTTTGATATGAAATATATAGTTATACACATGAAAAGACACATAAAAGGCACATAATTTATTGGCATGCATGAAGTCCTGACAAACCCTACTAGTTCTTTTTTATGGCTAATAATTATTGCTTATAAGATATACAACTTGCATTGATTTTTATTGCTCATATGATATGATACTATTTATATTGGCAGTTACATGTTCTTATAGTTATATATTTATATTGTTTTGGGTTGAATGATTACAAGCATACTATTTTCATTATCTTGCATTGATTACAATTATAAATTCTAATAGTCTACTAAGTTGTTGGCTCATTCCGTAGTTTTTACATGTTTTCAAAAAGGGGTCAAGATACAATGAGACATACCAGACTTTTTTTAGAATTTCTTTTAATTTATATATTTTAGTTTATTCTTTTGTAATCGGGAGTTAAAAGATAGATTGATATGGAGTGATTGATCTCCTCACTATTATAAATTAAATGTTGATGAATGAATATAGAAATATTTGATGTATATGATTTATAGTTACTTTCACCAGTTTTCTTATTTAAGGAGTTAGTGGCTCTGGTAGATTAATTGAAAGATGAAATAGGCAATTCATCCAAAATTAGATCTTGGGGTATCACAATTTGTATCAGAGCAAATGTTATTAAAAGAATTGATTTGTAATCAGAGCTATAAAAAATAATTGATATGGGTAGAAATGGGTAGTGTTAAGACTTATTTTTCTTGCAATTTATATCATATATATGTGATTAAATTATAATTTGTTAGAAAATAGAACTATACTAAGTGCAATGGATCCATATGAAGTTTCAAATGAATAGAGTATAGTGGCCCTAGTAAGCGTCGATAGCATGATGCAGTTTACTAGTTTGATAACTCAATTGATGAGTGATGCATGGAGCAAGCAAACTTAAAGCAATGAGACTAAAGAGGATAAGAGGATAAGCACTTACATATATTTCACAAGTTAAAACCCTAAGAGAGCTACTATAGAGTCATATGATATAAAGGATTGGTTATTGAGGATAGAGAAAACATTTAACAATATGCAGTGTTCAGAGAATATAAAACTATCACTAGCAGTGTTTTTATTTGAAGGAGAAGTTGAGATAGTGAATATGATAGCAGCAGAAGAAGTTTTAGTGAAAGATGAATGCAAAAATTACTTGGGCAAAGTTTGTTGTTATCTTCATATAATGGTTTGTGCTTCTGTCAACATGATGATAAATGCAGGACGCTTTTATGAGACTGAAACAGGGAAATAAGATAGTGATGCAGTACAAAGTTAAGATTACTACACTAGCCATGTATGCACCCTAAGTCGATAATGCTGAGGATAAATGTTATAGATTCATGAGAGGAATGAAGGATAAATTGAGACATCTACTTGTATCATTAAGAATTGATGGAGTTTTCAAAATTAGTGGAAAGAGAAAGATTAGTAGAAAATGATTTGGTTAATCTTCAATTATGATAAGATATGAGTAGAAAGAGAGCAAGCGAAGAGGTGGCAAGAGGAGAAAATAATGAGAAGAGAAGCAATTTTATTGATGTTAGAAGAGAACCCGTGATACCAGCTGGTAATGTATAAGAGTGCCCCATTTGTGGTAGGAGAAATTTAGGGCAGTATTATATGATCACTGAATAATATTTCAGATATGATTAATACGGGTAGGGTTGTAAAGAAATCGAGCTGAACCTAGCTTCGACATGTTTGAGCTTGGGCTTATTTACTAAGACTCTGTTCGAGCTCAGTTTGATAATATTTGAACTTTTTTGGTCTTTGTTCAAGCTCGAGCTCATTTAAAAAACCCCTATTCGGGCTCAATTCATTTTAGGCTTGTTAAGCCTATTAATGAGCTGCTCGTCAAGCCTAGTACTCATTTAACAAAATAAAATATCTTAATCAAGCAGCTTGCGGAAAACCCATGAAGAACAAGTCAACCCATCTTCTCACTTTTCAGTGCCCGCAAATATCAACTAACATTTTCTCCATTTTTAATCTTTATAGAACAAAATTAAGCGCCTCAAAAATGGTGTGGGACTAAACTTCTCACCTTTTTTTTTGTTCATGCGTGCCATAAAGGAGAGACAGAATGGAGAGGGCCATCTAAAAATGGGAAAAGAAGCATATTTTGATTATTTTTATTTTGGTAACAAAAAGATCATATTTGCACATATACCATACTATTCTCATATTTCAAAATTCTAGTGCTATTAAGGAGTGAGTTAAATGTAACATTTTTACCAATAATAATAATATAACCATATTTTAGGGTTTTGGATGTCTAGTTTAGTTTCAGTGAGCAGAACTGATATTAGAAATGAGAATGTGAGCGGAAGTCAAAGGTAGCCTACATAGTTAGCGATGATATACCCATGCAACCAAGAGTATATTGCTTGAGTCGATATGAAGTGAGAGATGCATCCGAAAGGTCCACCGTTATAATTCTCCGCTATGAATATTTTTTTATTATTATTGAAATGCATTACATAATAACATGCTACATGATTGATTGATATGCATGCATGTGTGAATGAATGAATACATGATTTTATTGATTATTGATATGACCGGTGATCAGTGATTTTGTTCTATTTGTTAGTGGTCCGTAGTGGGAAATATTGAGTATAACATTTTTCTAAGGTGGATAGATTATAATAACCTCAAATTAATTTTATCTTATTTTCTACAAATTTGATTCATTGAGTACCACGATACTGGGTAGACAACGCCATGACATTGAGCTCTCCAATTTTCTAGAATTCGAGGGCGCATTACGACGTTGAGTATGGAGCACTACTTTGTTGAGTTAGAAAATTTATTTTTTTTAATAAAAATGTCCAAAAACTTTTTATCAAAACCATCAAACATCCCTCCCCCTCCCCATTCCACTTCCTTAGCCAGTGAGAGAAGAGAGAGAAAAAATTAAAGAGATGAGAGATAAATTCTGGATTGGGTCTATATTTTATGTCGCTCTGGTTATAAAAAGTATTCTGATAGTGGTAGGTAACCTTAAAAATATCTCTGTTTTTAATAGTCTTGTGTTTTGCCTATTTTTCTCCCTACTAAAATTGAAAAAAATGCAATATCTTATTTTGATGATTTTCAATCGTGTAACTTTTGAAATATGGTAGATATCATTATATTAAGTATTTTAAATGGTTAATATTAAAATTTTATTGGGTGATTTTGTAATATATGTCATTTTAATCTCTTATTTTGATGATTTTCAATCGTGTAACTTTTGAAATATGGTAGATATCATTATCTTAAGTATTTTAAATGGTTAATATTAAAATTTTATTGGGTGATTTTGTTTATATGTCATTTTAATTAAAATTAGTATCATATTGTGTATAAAATATTTAAGAGCCAGTATATTATATTTAGGCATAAAATACATGATATGCATGCATTCATTATTCATTTAGTCAAATATACATTTTTTGACATATTACAGACACTTTACCCTGCTGTTCATAACATTTGGAGAAAAAAATTTGTGGTTTATGCACTTTGAATGTTTATTTTATATTTTTTGATGATTAGCTGGCTCTAATGTATATTTATTTAGAAATAAGAAACTTAGAAGTATAGAAATATAAGAAACTAGTTTAAATTCCTCCTTTAGATCTTAGGGCGTTACATTATTTGGGTATGGTTACCGTCCTTATAGCCTTTATCATTGCTCTACCTAATTGCTTCACTATCTATTTTCTTATTCTTTAAAGGTGCTGGTTCATTATCTGTATGTTCACAGTATATGCAGATCAATGGCAACATCCACAAAAATTTCAAAAAAAAAATTACAAAAAATTATAGAAAACTTTTTATGTTTGCAATAAAAAAAAAGATAATTTTTTTATCTAAAGTTGACATTCATAAATTTTATACCCTATCAAATTGTAATATTTTAGCATTAAAAAAAATTTTATGAAGGTTGCACCGATTAATATCTATGTCTACAAAAAATTTAAAATTTTTAGAAATTTCTCAAAGGCATCATAAATACATTTATAAATCAAAACTTCCTCGAAATCGAAACAAAGGAATTAAGATTTCGTTTGGGACGATATTCTGATTGTTGCTTAAAGCATTTTGTTAGCACAAAAAAATTAAAACTAAACTCTTCCGCTAGAAAGTTACCTTAAAAATTAAAAAGAAAGTTGTCTCAAAATAAACCTAAATGTCAAAAATCTTCGAATGAAGCCTAAATATACATAGGATCTTTTTCCAAAAAAAAAAAAAGATCAATATAACATGAATAAAAAGGAAAATCATAGTGACAATTGATAAAGTTATTCAAAATATAAAAATATAGTATTAGACAAACTTTTTGAAGTTTTTATTTTGCCGCTGCCTCCGAATCAATTTATCGATGATTAGTCCCTGCACCATATTTTAGGAGAATTTACTTGATTCACAGTTCTAAGGGGAGATCGACGTTCGCATCCAGAGAGCAATCACATCTTATAGTTTTATGGAATCATAATTATATGCCACAAAAACTTTCAATGTTCAAAATATTAAAATAATTAAAAATTGGTTAAAAACATGAGACAATACTCTACATAACACATGCTTGTTAATTTGTATGGTAGTATTTTTTTAAAATTTAACATATTTTTGGACAATGCAGTCTTTGAAGTCAATAAAGGAGCAACTAATACTTCATCGAAAAATTCATTTGATCAGACATAATCTCTTTGCAAATTGAAGTATAAATTTTTAAACTTCATGTATATGCTATATAAACTCTAATTTTAATAAATTTGTAGTCAAATTATTTAGCTCAATAGGATAGACTCAACGACAATAAAAGTGATTCTATTCGAGTACAAATGAGCCCATATATCAAACACTTAAAATATAGTTGAAAATTTTGAGATAATAATAAGATGATTAAATAATTTTTGAATTTTGCATCCAAATAAAGTGTATTGACGAATGAATCCAATAAACCAATGATCATTTTATTTCAAAATTAATTAGACACTTAAATATTAAAAAGTAGTTTGAGATCAAGGATATTAGTACGACCTATCTAATGAATTGTTTTAGATTATTTTCTTTATTATCAGGTATGTCAAAATTTATAAACAGACTCTCATTCTCTACATGAAAATGATCCTTAGCCTGAAATTCAAGATAGCTCTGAGGCTTGAAAAATCCCAAATAATTTTAGCCATAATTCTTAGAAATTTTCATAAACATTGATTAACAAAAAAAAAAAAAAAATTCTTTTCTAAATTATTGATATGACATTAGCAAGAGGCCTATTCAACTAATTTAGGATAGCTTCATGCAACCCTTCCTCTTTAGTCAGAACAATTGAGCTTTGTAGACCTTAAATGCTCCATTTGGCTCATGTAATGTTTTGTGCATAAAAAATTTATGTGCTTTTATAGTATCTCCTTCATTCTTTGTAGATGGTTTATTATTAGAGAATTTGAATTTATTTGAGCAAAATCTCTAAGTTAAAGAAGATTGGCCATATTTTTTCTATTATGGTAGATATATCTATGTCCTTATTGAAGTAATAAAACTAATCCCATCTTCTACTTGAGGAAGAACATAGACTAAGAATATTTCATTGAACATTTCATCATTACAAATTGAGGGTATGACATATAAGAGAAGGCCTCAAAATAAGTGATACTAGCAAATCATAATTAATTAAACCACCTTCATGTTGAATCTTGAAAGGTGCTAGAGAATAATCAATATTATATTGTGTTAAAGAAGCTTGAACTAGTATAGTATATAGAATAGATGGTTACAAAGATGGAATGATGCAAGAGTATCATTAATGATGAAACACTTCTTCTTTGCTCACAAAACTGACAAAGGTGTCTAATATTATGAAAATTGTGGTGGTTGGAATTGAAAAATAGAGTCAAATATCTCAATTAGAGATGAGATTTAAAGTTGTAGAGTTTCAAATTCGCTCTCCATCATCTGCACAATATTAGACACCTTTGTTAAAACACCTTCAAAAGAACTTGAGGCTGCGAAAACCTCATGTTCTTAGTAGTGCTTGAGTGATAAATTCATCTGCACTCGAGGCTTCTTTAGTTTGGAGTTTGATATTCGACATTGGAGGTGGATTAGCTTTTTTTTTTTTTTTGAATGAAAAAAAATGTTATTGGATGGTTAAGCTACTTTTGCCACATTATCTTTTCTTGATGGTATAATAATAGCTTTCCCACAAATGATGCCAAATATGAAGGATGAAACATCACTCTACCTAGGATGACAAAGATTGATTTTATCGAAGGAGAAATTTTATTTCATACAAAGGTATGAGAAAATCAGAAAGTAAATTTAGGCTTCATTTGGGACGGCTTTTTTATTGCTTTTTAAAACGGAGTTTTAGTACAAATTTTTTTAATTTTATACTAAAACTCTATTTTAGAAAGCAATAAAAAAGCCGTCCCAAATAAAACCTTAGTGTGAAACATTGATGATTATGATGTAATCATTCTAGTAAGTAAATTTAGACGATTAAATATGGAGCACCTCAACAAAGGAAGATGGTGATAATCTTTTAAAATCTATAAAATTTTTCAAATTGACAAGAGAAAATATATGAGAAGAGAGATAAAAGAATTAACTATCTCACAAAATGCCAAAAAGAAAATCATTATAATAAGTTATGGTAGCTACATATCAAAGTTTTAAATTAGAATATAATATATTTATTATGTAGCTATCATCTGACATATGCCTTCGTTTTCATTTCAAAAGTTATAACTATTTTATTGGTCATTCATATTAATACTTTAAATTCTAGCATGTAATAAGACCTTTAATTTTAGAAACTATAGCTATTTTATTTATTGCTTGGCTATCACATGTTGTATCTTTTCGTTTTCAAATTAAAATTATAATAAAATTATCATTTATAATATAAATTATTGTTGCTCCTTATTTAAGGAGTCACGTAAAGAGAGGAAGTCAAACATGAGTATGACGAGTTCCTAACCTCGCCCACCCACCAAACTCAGCAAACTCGATGGAGTATCATTATTGCATATTATTATTTTAATTTATTTTAATTAATATTAACATTAATTAATTCAACTTATTTTATTTAAGCATTAAATTAAATAATTTATATTATTAAGAGAACATTTGTATTAATACATTTATTTTCTCAAGATTTCTTTCAATATAAACTAGGATATATTTATTTAACCAGATTAAATTTTATTGTGTTTATTTTCTTACTCTATATAATATAGAGAATTTGACTAGTAAATAATGACTTTATGTTAAAATATAATAAAAAATAAATAAATATTATATAAATTATATCCCTAAAAAAAATATTTGGCAACTTCATACAATTACAAAATATTGTACTCATTTGGCCAATTGCTGTCCTCGCCAATTTTTTCTTTTCTTCGGAATTACTGTATCAGCTCGTCGATCGAGAAAACATGAAGAAGCGAAGGCCACCACTGCTTCACTTCCGCAGTATCGTACGACAACTATCGCTAGCCGGCGTCGGAGCTGTCGTCCTTCTGATTCTGCTGGTCACGACCTGTTCTCCCTCCAAGTCCACTTACCACTCCCTCTTTCTCCGCTTATCCTCCAACGACACTGCTGCCCGCCACCTCCACGCCCTCACCCGCCGTCCACACGTTGCCGGCTCCAAAGCCAACGCCGACGCCGCAGCCTACGTCCTCGAAACCCTATCTTCCGCCTCCATCCCAGCTCACATCGTCTCCTACGATGTTCTTCTGTCCTACCCCGTTCATCGCTACCTTTCCCTCTCCTCAGAGGCCGCGGCCCCTTCCGTCTCCTTTGATCTCGTCCAGGAAATCTACCCCGGCGATCCCTACGCCGATGTGGCCGCCGAGGTCCTCCCGACGTTTCACGCCTACGCTCGCTCCGGCACTGCTGCCGGCGAAGTGGTATATGCCAACTACGGCCGTGTCGAGGACTTTGATAAGCTGAGGGCTGCTGGTGTGAACGTCGTAGGGAGCGTGGTCTTAGCGCGGTACGGTGGGATTTTTCGCGGGGACATCATTAGGAACGCGCAGCTGGCTGGCGCTATAGCTGCAATCGTGTACACTGACGCCAAGGACTACGGTGGCGGTGCCCGTGGTAAGTGGTTTCCAAACGACCGGTGGATGCCGCCGAGCGGCGTGCAGGTGGGAAGTGTATTTCGCGGTCTTGGGGATCCAACCACGCCAGGTTGGGCCAGCGTCAGTGATTGCGAGCGTGTGAGCGTCGACGAGGTGGTCGCTAGAGGCCTCATGCCGGGGATCCCGTCGCTGCCGGTATCGTCTAGAGATGGTGAAGCGATTCTGAAGACGATTGGAGGAGAAGTGGCTGCAGCCGATTGGCAGGGCGAAGAAGGAGCTCCAGTATACCGGCTTGGCCCGGGGCCGGGTTTCGTCAATCTGACCTACCTGGTGAGCTTCGAATATCATCGAGCACTAAGGTATAAGGTTTTTGATGAGCAGTGTAGGGTTTACCTGTGCGTTTTTTTTTACCCTGTTTCTTTTAAATTCTATTTAAATTTGAGGAATTTTTTGTTTCTGATGCTGTGTAATGGGATAAAGTTAAGAAAATGAAGCGAGATATAAGCAATTTATTGGTTGATTGTGAATAACGATCTTTGATTTGAGATTTGCAACTTATTTTTCGTTTTCTTCACTGAAATTTCCACGATCCAACAGAGCCGTTTGAACATGAAAACTGAGAATTTCTTCTGTTCCTTTCATTGCTTCAGGGGAATGAAACCATAACGACGATCCAGAATGTGATAGCTGTGATAAAAGGCAAGGCAGAGCCAGACCGGTTAGTATATTCACTTTGCCTTTTTATAATGTTGCTTGGGAATTCTGTGTTTTGAGATTAAGGGGTTTTATTGGTTAGAACTTAGAATAACTAGGCTTTGATAATTTCGGATTTTGAAATATTGTTAACCTTGCAATCCTGGAATTTAGATTATTTAAATTCTAAAATTGTTTGGTTGTCAATGTTTCAATTTGCTTATTCTTTGATGTCTGTTTGGTAAATTTGAAGGCATTGGAAGATTGAAGGATTAGATTAATTATTACATGCCTTGATTTTTATTAATTTGATGGATGATGCTGATCGTGTGGGACAAGCATCTGATGAGGAGGATGTTTTGTTGAAACTTGCCAATGACCCAATGGGAAAATTATTAGGTGCGGAGATCGGATGTAACTCTGGTTTCGGACGCGAATAAAAACTTGACATGTGGAACTTCCACGTGAATTTGTTTTGTGTATTATTCTTGCTTTATGTCTTGTCCGCCCGATCGATCCGACTAACCCGAATTATTTGAATTCAGGAATACAAGAAGATGCGAAATGAGGCGTTTTTACTTTTCACCCTTCTTTTTAGTCTCTCTCGTCGTTTGGTTCTACAGAAGCTTTTCTTCCAATCCTTCAACATTTCCATTCTCTAGGACATCGTCGGGGGTAGACGAAGTTGGAACCAGTTTTCATTTTAGAAAAAGTACGATTTTGTTGCGCATTTACTGCTCCTTTTGTGCAATTTCACTTTTTTTTTCATGATTTCATTTCTTACATTGATTATGTAACTAGTTTTCTTCACTGTGTTTTTTGTTATATGTTTTTATTTGATTTTCAACAATCTCACCGAGGAATATATGTTACATTAACTGTTTTGTACTTATGCTTTATTTATATTTTTGTTGCGCTTTACTTGCGTTTTACATGCTCTTTTGTTGCGCTTCACTTGTGCTTAACTTGCTATTGTATTGAATTTTTTTATGGTTCCTTATTAACAGCATGTTACTTCTCGTTGCTATGTTACCACTTTTAGAACTATTTGCGACGCATTTGTGAAGATAATAAAGAAGAAGTTGATGACTCGTTGAGGATTTTGCACATTTATCAATTTTTGAAGTTCTTGTTATTCCAGCAGGGTATACCTCTTTTATATAAGTTTCTGAAATTTTGAAATATTTTTGATAATGGCTTCATTGTCAATGATCATTTATTTAAATTCATTTCTGATGAGATTGCTCTACTCACAGGTTTGCTTTAAAATAAAAATTTTTTGATATATTTTTAAAATTTTTAATATATTATATTTGACCAATTAAATGAAAATATTATCACAAGTTTGCTCAATAAAGGTGTTGATAATAATTAAAAGAACGAATCACTCATAAGAGTTCTATCAATAAAAATAAAAATTGAAATGATAAAACTAAATATGTCAACTGACAATATAATAAAGTTAAGGATTTTTACAATGTTTTTAGTTTAGAATTTATTTTTTCCACTAAATCATAAAATCTTAAGAAAGCTCATATCTATAAAAAGTAATATAAACGAGCTCTCATATATTAATTGGACTGCAAGTATTAGAGATTTCATGGTTTAAGAATTCAATAAAAGTACAAATAAGTTTGCAAAAGAAAAAAATATTAGGTTACATCAATAATTTTTTTCCTCTACTGCTGGTAAGTATAAAATTTATTTATTTTTATATATTAAAAATTTTATGATTCATTAATTTATAATTCATGACAATATTACTTAACGTGATTTTATGTGTGGTGATATGCAGATACGGTTCTTGGAATATTTTTTCATAAATAAACCTACCAATACAAAATTAAGACCACGAAAAATACTGATATTTTCTATACCCAAGCGAATGCTATTATTTTATTTAAGTTTTTAAAGAAAAAGGAGGTATGTTTTAAGATTAAATTTTTTATGTTATTTCGTTTGATATCAAACCACAGTCAAATTAAAACAAAACAAAAAAATGCATTTGAAGCGCATATAAAGCACAGTTGAGCGCAAGCAATGCGCACTTAAAGCACATTTGAAATGCATATAAAGCGTACTTTTTTAATATTTGTTTAGATTTTATGCAGATTTATCTTATTCTACAGGATGTTATTGATAACGAAATAGAAAATTTTAATGCTGATATAAATGATTTTTAAAATCTCAAATTCCAAACTCTTTAATATTCTCATAAAATTCTCTCTCCACAACACAAAAAATTGACACCTCTTCACCTCACTCTCCCCTTGAAGGTCCTCCTCATTCTCCTAATCAAGAACTCCCTCAAACCCTTGCTCAATCTCCTATTCAACCACCATTGCCTAAACATAAAAATTCGACTAATGTTCAGAATAAATTACTTTGTATATTAGAAAAGATGTGCAATAGAATTAAAGATAATTTGGACAGAAGAGTTAATCAAATTGAGGTTAATTTAAATAAATTTGAAGCAACAGTTCAATATCTACAATACAAATTTATCCCCCATGTGGCCCAATGTGAATATGATCCTGACAAACTTTTTATATCTTCATCTTTTTCAACTATCCAATTTGTAAAGAAATAAAAAATGACCTCCATTACAGATGTTGCTCTATTACCCACTACAGATATTAATCTACCACCCACTTCAGATATTGATTCACCACCCACTACAATTCAACCATCCACTACTGCTTTTACTATGTATTGGAGGAGCATCTATAGTGAGTGATGGTGGAGCAAAATATGTAGTGGGTGGTTGAACTGCAGCTGTTTTGGGTGGAGCAATATCTATAGTGGGAACAATTTTGGATTTCTTCACAGATGAGATAGTTGAGAAATATAAAGATAAAGAAGGTTTGTTAGGATTATATTCGCATTAGAGCATATGCATGAATTTGTATTGTAGAGATTCAACTGTTGCTTTTAGTTTCTTTAAATTATACTCAATTCGATCAACTATTCTGTTCAAATTATTTTTAATTATATTGCACATCTTTTCTAATACACCAAGTAATTCTGAATACTAGCCCAATTTTAACCTTTAGGTAGTGATGGTTGAGTAGGAGGTTGAGCAGGAGTTTGAGGGAGTTATTGATGTGGAGAATGGGGAGGACTTTCAAGGAGAGAGTGAGGTGTATGAGTGTCAACTTTTTGAGTTGTGGTGAATTAATTTTGTTGGAATATTAATGAGTTTGAAATTCGATATTTTGAAAAACATTTATGTTTACGTTTATATTTTCTATTTCGTCCTTAATAACATTCTGTAAAGCAAGATAAATATGCAAAAAATCTAAATAAATATTAAAAAAGTATGTTTTATATGCGCTTCAATTACATTTTATATGCGCTTCAAATTTTAAGTGCGTTTTAGTTGTGCTCTATTACGCTTTATATGTGCTTCAAATACTTTTTTTTGCGCTTTTGTTTCACTTTAATTTTGCTGTGATATGATATCAAAATAAATAATAGAGGAAATTTAATCTTAAAATATATCACATTTTCTTTCAAAATTTTAAATAAAGTGATAGCACTCGTTTGTGTATAGAAAATATCAGTATTCTCTTTTCATCTTAAAAAATGTAGTCTTAATTTTAGATTGGTAAGTTTATTAATGGAGAAGTGTTCCAAGAATCATATTTGCATAATATCACATATAAAATCACGTTAAATAATATTGTTATGAATTATAAATTAATGGATCATGGATTTTCTAATATATAAATATAAATAAATTTTGTACTTACCAGTAAAAGTGGAGAAAAATCATTCATATAACCCAGTGGTTTCTCCATTGCAGACTTGTTTGTAATTTTATTGAATTCCTGAATCATGAAATTTTTAATACTTACAGTATAATTAATAGAAGAGAACTCATCTACATTATTTGATATAGATATGAACATTCTTGGAGTTTTATTGTTATTTAATCAAAAAAATAAATTAGAAACAAAAAATATTATAAAAGTCTTTAACTTTGTTGTATTGTTAGTTGATCTATTTAGTTTTGTCATTTCAATTTTTATTTTTATTCCTAGAACTCCTGCGTGTGGCTCATTCTTCCAATTTATATCAACATCTCTGTTGGACGAACTTGTGAAAAAAATTTTGTTTAATTGGTCAAAGATAATATATTACAAAATTAAAAAAACATATCAAAAATTTCTTATTTTAAATCAAACATGTGAGCAGAGCAAATGACCATTGACAATGAAGCTTTCATCAAAAGTATTTCAAAATTTTATAATCTCATATAAAAGATGTATCCACTGCTGAAATAGCGGGAACTTCAAAAACTGATGAATTTGCAAAGTTCTCAATGTGTCATCAACTTCTTTGTTTATTATCTCTATAAATGCATTACAAATAGTTCTGAAGATGGTAACAAAGCAATGAAAAATAACAAATTGTTTATAAAGAGCCATATGAAAGAACGCAATACAAGAACAAGTTAAACCCAAATAAAGCGCATATTAAGCGCAACAAAAGAAACGTTAAGTAAAATGCAAGTACAAAATAATTAATATAACAGATATTCCTGAATGAGATGATTGAAAAATCAAACAAAATATATAAAAAAACAGTGAAGAAAATTAGTTATATAACAAAGTAAAAAAAGAAAACATTTTTAAAAAAAAAGTGAAATCGCACATAAAGTAAAGTAAATGCAAAACAATGGCGCAGCGCGTAGCATGTCGTACCTTTTCTAAAATGCAGACTAGTCCCAATTTCGTCTACCCTCGATGAGGTCCTGGAGAATGGAAATGCCGAAGGATTGGAAGAAAAACTTCTGGAGAACCGAATGAGGGGAGAGAGTGAAAAGTAAAAACGCCCAATTTCACATCTTCTTGTATTCCTGAATTCAAATAATTCGGGTTAGTCGGGTTGACAAGACATAAAGTAAGAATAATGCACACATTTATTTGCGTCCAGACACAGAGTTACGTCCGATCTCCGCACCTAATAATTTTCCGAGTGCCACAGGGTGTATGGTGATCACTCGGGTTGTTAGAATCAATC